CTCTTGGATATCCTGCTGTTGCCCAGAGCCATGAGACCCAGAGGCTGCAGTTCCTCAGGACCAGCCCCTTCACCCACTTCAGCAGCTCATAGATGGAGTAGACGTTGGGGTAGGCCAACTCAAGTCCCTGGATTTGTGTCTCTGCTGGGCCTTCCCACCCCAGAGGAACGAGGGCTTCTCTCCCACACCTACTCCATGGGAACTGGCCAACTCTCCCATGCCCAGAGCTGCAGGTCAGAGAGGGGGTGGGGCCAGCTCTCCTGCAGCCAGTGAGGGGGGCGGGACCAGCTCATCATGGGGATAGAGCATCAACATAGCCTCAGATGATAGCCTGGACCACAGACATCAGCATGGCCTTTGATGGTAACGTGGGCCACAGACATCAACACAGACCCTGGCTGCAGTAGGACCACAGACGGCCTCTGGGGGTTCCATGCCTCCCTTTCGACTTGGCCATCCATCCATAAATCCCAATCCTATCTATACCTCCATTCATCACACAAGGATCAATGGATTAACAGGCATCCTTTCATTCCTTCTCGTCATTAATGAACCACCTAATCAACAATGACTAGGTTAATAGTAGCTGTGCATTAAAATCATATTATAAATACACTAGGCTAAATAGAACACATATTAAAATGAGTTTCCCCTATTCTTAAATTACAACTACTAGAAAATGTAAATTACACATGTGACTCACATTTATGACCAAATTGTATTTCCATTGGACAGTGAGAATTTATACTATCTGTCATCCATCTATGTATCCTCCATCTAACCACTTACCTACCCATAATTCATCTCTCTACCTATCCATCCTCAACCCATCATTCACCTATCTATCCTCTCCATCATTCATTCATTGGTCCTTGTATTAATTGATAGTCCATGCATCTATTATCCATCTACCCATTCATCTATGTATTAATCCATCCATCTGCCCACCATTCTTTGGCTTCTATTTCTATCTATGCATTCACAATCCATCCATCCATCCATCCATCCATCCATCCATCCATCCATCCTCTACTCCATCAGTTCTTGCCTTGATCCATCATTTATCAGCCCTGCACCCACTGATCCAGCCACTTATCCCTCATCCATTAGTATCTGCATCAATCTGTCCATTATTTTCTTCCTTCTTTCATCTAGATGCCTACTGACCATGTGTATCCATCTCATAACATGTGTCTGTGGGAGAGAGATATTTCTGTATATCATGAATCAGAGACTGTGGGTCAGAAGAATGGGGAAACCAAGCCCATTGCCTAAGGTGGGACAGATGGAGCTAGGCTCTGTCTATCAGACCAGAGCTCCTCGTTTTTCACTTTGGCTGCTTATTTGTTAGGTATCTTTTAAGATAAAAACAATCCTTTGGGCGAACATGACAAGCTTAGGTTGGGGGTGGCTATTGGAATAGAGACCTAAGAGTTCCTATCTGGTGACCACACAGTGTGGAGAAAGACAAGTCCTTTAGAAGCCTCTGTGAGTCTATCCCTGGTGGCTGACATGAAAGGGTTATCCCCACACATTCGATATTTGCAAAAAAATGTGGATTCTTTCAGATTCCAAAACTCATTTCCATGACAAAACTCTTGGGGAGAGAAGATGAAGGCCTGGCTTTTGCAGAACAATCTTCCAGCTGTAATGAGGACTGAAGATGGCAGTGAGGAAAGGAATTATAATTAGAATATGAAATGGGGAAAATTAATCTATTCCAGGCAATGGTAAGAGGATGTCCTGACGTTTCATAGCAATTCTTAGGCTGTTGTCCCCCTGTGTTTCTTCTGCACATTTTAAAGCACACAGAAGGTTGTGTAGTGTGAAAAATGACTTTTGGCAGAGGGACCAATAAACTGTGAGATGTTCACAGGATCTCTGCCCATGCGCCATTGCTTAATGTGTTTCTCTGGGAACACAAAATGCATGTTTACATTCACACTTATGTGAGTTCTAGCAAACATTTGCAGGTGTATGGTGTGTTTCTACATCTGCCTCCTCCTTTCCTGTGTGTTCTAGGATTGTGTGCCAGTTTTCTAGTCTGATAATGTACCCTGTACTTGTGCTCTGTGCACATCGGTTGTGTCCTGTATGGAAATGAGACTGGTAGGACCGAGCTGTGCATGACATGGGTCCACACAAATCAGGGTTTGAGGCATGTGGGTGTCCACTCTCTCTGTCCACCTCAGCATGTCCTGGATAGTGGTGGAGATGTGAGTGTTTTCCATTGGGTCTGAGGACCAAATGGATGGAGGGTCCTCAGTTTCCATTGGGTGGAGGAAGGTGGCCCTGCTCTGTCTGAGGGAAGGGGTAGCTCTGTGACCCTTTCCTTAGCTTACTTGTCCTTTTACCAGAAAGAGTCCTCCATGAGGAGGGGAACAAGGGAGAAACCTTGGGTCTTTGTTCCTGGAGGCCAGGGAAGTGGGAGCCCCTGAGCCCTCAGGAACCACCCTATCTTCCTGAATCCAAGTTCTTTGCCCAGTATGGCTTTGACAGAGGTGGGTAGACAGCCGGTCTCCTTCTGCCTTAGTCCCTGTTCACAACTGTTCAGCCCAGCATATTTCAGGACACTGTGCAAAGTGCCCAAGACTCCCCAAATTGAGGCAGACCGAGGCTCTACAGGAAAACTCCACCAACAAAGCAAGCTTCACTCTAGCATATGACAGTACTTTCCTCGACATTGCTTGAACTGACAGATGCATGAATGAATACGTGAGCCTATTTGTGAGACTCTGGTGACCTCACAGGAGTCCACTGCCCCACCCCCTTATCTGACCCAAAACCTCTCGCCAAACTCCAGGAGGGCTTCCTGTCCAGGGGCATAGTCCACTGCTCACTCTGGGTGACTCTTCCCTCTCCTGAATTTCCAACATGCTTGCTAAGTGTCTCCCATGTCTATGGCTCTGGGCTTAATGTTGGTCACATGGGGAGGATCTAGAAAAGCCTTGGTCTCTGCATACAGGGAGCTTGCAGCATAATTGGGAAGAAACCTGGCAAAGCAAACAAATGGCACTTGTGTGGTCTCTTCCCCATAGAGCAGCTAGCCTTCTCTTTGTGTTTTGTTGGTTTTCAATGGGAGAAAGAATGTTGTCTCCATTGGGCCATTGAGATTCTCCATAGAGAGCATGCCACTCAGAGCCAGGGGAGTCATTCATTCACCACGTTTGTTTTGTCACTTGCCCATTGTATATGAAGAAGATGGGCTTTTTTCTTCCTGCTAGCTGTATTCTATGCAGAGTTTAGTGATTGATGGCTATCACAGGGGGGAAAGGGGAACACCTTCCAGTCTGTTCTCTCGTTGTATATTGTTATGTATTACTAACTCACACCATCCTGTTTAGCTGCTGTTGTTTTAGAAAATGTCTCAGCTCCCTGGTTACGCTTCTTCTCCATGCACAGCACAAAGTTCTGGATCCTTGGGAACATCGTTTGTGGCAGGGGAATCCAACTTGAGAATCAAAGACAGTAAATATTAGAGAGTGCTGGACAGTTACAGGAGGTGTCACAGAGAGGAGGTGGTAGCAGGGAAGACTGGCTCGCTGGGCCCACAGGGGTGGGGCTGGCCTCATGGCAGGTTGATACACACAGTTCTAAGGGAAGGGCTTGGACAGACATCTACGTGGCTGGGGGAGTGTAGAGTTCTACATCATGAGTCTGCACAACTGTACTCATGCAAATTAGTTCCATAGAGAAACTCACACCCTTGTGCGATGACTAATATAGCCACGTTGAAATGCAAAGGAGAGAAAGTTCATTGGGCCACAAGCTTAGCTAGTTGTCTCTGCTGCCTTCTTACTGTGGAATTCTGGGGACTGGCAAAAGCAATTATGTTGTGATTTGGATCACATTCCAAGACGTGTTTCCATCAGAAAAATGAGACACAAAGCAATATGTGAGTGTTATAATTTGGAGGACGAGTAACTATAAACAGTAGCCTTTGGTGAATATAACCCTGCAGACTCTTGACTCTGGCCCGGTGGAGGCCATCTTGCTCAGAATGTTGTGCCTCCTTGTGTCCCCTAAGAGCAGCAATGACTGCTTATTGTAGACCGTGAAAGGCCAGCATCCCTTGCCTCATGCTGAGACTGACCCTGTGTGCATGCACACAGTTCATTCCTCGAGCCACCACGGGATGAAGCTCAAGTGAGTGTCCTCATTTAGCGCCGGCCAATGTCATACAGGTTAACCCCCACAAATCACTTGCTCAAAGTGTGTGCCTCTGCCCCTGGGGATCTCTATGAAGGTAGTGGCATGTGGCAAAGCTGCTCTAAACTGTCCTATGAAGAAGAGACCACCATCCTATCCCACCTGGCAGACGGGGAGCTTCAAATTTGGGGTACCAGCTGAAAATCGCGTATCAGTAGTTGCTGACAGGGCCCATGTTTCTTCCCCTGCACCTCTTCCGCATGGTGGGCAGTTCTTCCCAAATCCAGAAGTGGTAGATTCTCCAACACATTGTGACCCCTCATCAGTTTCCACCACAGTTCTCATACCTGTGGCCATGAAGCTAAAAGGAGACAGAGGTGGGGACAAAGCCACTTAGGGCAGAAAGATGTAGTGGACGTCTCTGGGGCAGGCTGTCATTGACTCCAAGGCAATGAACTTCAAGGCCCTTCCCTGACACATGGGATTCCAGCTTTAGCTTATTGCCTCTGTCGTTTTGGCCAGAAGAGTCATTTGTATACTTGTAGGGGAGGGTAGCTCAGTGCCTGACAAGGCAGCTTGCTGTGTCAGTAGACAAAGTACCAACCGTATAGGTATTGCTTGTCTTTGTCCTATGTGATTGATGGTCCTGGCCTGAATTTTCAAGAGCCATAGAACAGGACAGGGGCTGCTGGCCCTGCTGAGATGGGGCCTTAAGCATCCAGGGCTCCAATGCCTGGTCTGAAGCCCTTACAGCCCCTTTCTTTCAGCACAATCCCCCGACCTCCTTGGGACACAAGCCCTGTTTCCCTCCAGGAACATTTTAATGAGAACCACTTCTGTCTTTCTTCTAGTTTGATGGTGACAGTGCCTACGTGGGGATGAGTGACGGAAATCCAGAGCTCCTGCCAACCAGCCAGGTGAGTGCCCCTCCTCCCCGAGGGGGTCTGAGCCTTGGGCTGGTGGAGCCAAGATGCTGCTGGCATCGAGGTAGGAGGGCTGCAGTTGCCAGGGTTGTAGGACATGATCTAATGTTATTCTTTCAGTATTCAAATATCAGTTGAGTCCTTATGGGGGACAGTCAAAGCAGGACCACAGTGATGGCTGTAAATGAAGTCCCTGAATACTGTTGGCTTACAGTGGGCATCACTGAGACCTTAACACTCTGAGTGTTAAGTCCACATTTCCAGAGTGAGGGACAGATTTCACAACAGTGATTTGAAGTGTCCCATGCTCTCTGCCACTGCCTTCCCCCTACATAACATCTTTAGGGACATCTATAGTGTGTGTCTACACACCAGTGAACAGATTCTACCCATCACACACAATCAGTTGTCTGAGGCCACTGAGGAAGCTTATGGACATGGCACAGAGGGCAGAGGGCAGAGGTTTCCTGGAAGGTCCTCTCTGGTTTATATTATATTTTCCACAGAGAATAAAAAGTTGACATTTCTCACCTGTGAGCATCCCCAGTACAGACTGTGACCAGGGAGGGGGTCCTTGCTGCTGTCTGTGACAATATGGACAATGACACCCAAAGGTAGGAGAGCCTGCAGGATATGGCAGTGGCTAAAGATGCCAGATGGAGCCGAGGAGTTTCCCAGCTACTGGGAACCTCGGAGAGCTGGAGGACAAGCCTGGCCCTCCTCTTGGCTTCTACCTCTCTCTTGGCAACTGAAATTAGCTGGCCCCTCAGCCATCATGATTGGTTCACATTTTCTGTCTGGGGAAAACAAAAGCCTATTAATTCACAGGCATAATGTACCTTATTCTATGGCAAGTCCCATGGGGCCATAAATAAGATGTGAGCCTGTGACCCGTGGAAAGCTCTGCTAATGAGGAATACAATGCAGTCCAAGTTGCAGGGATGCTGATACTGGGGTACCACACTTTACCCCTTCTCAAGCCTTCCCGGTGTGAGCACTATGTCACCACTGCAAAGCTGCCTTCTGTTGCTATATGTGCCAGCCTGCAGGGAGGTGAGCAATAATTCCAAGTCCTGGGATGTCACACTGCAATGCCTGGTTGTCCAGAATAAGCTTGGAAATGTGGTCATCCCAGATGACCAGGGCTCTCTTGACCTCTGAGTCATTCCCAAATCCGCATAAAACTTTGTAGCATACTGTGTTCTGACTTCAAAACCTACCTATCACCTCCTCAGAGAGCTGTTTGTTGCCTCCAGGATTGTCTGTCACAATGCCAACTTGTTTTAATTTCTGCCTCTTCTTACATTCTGTGGTCATCCACCATATGCGTGTGATGACTTAGCTTTTATCTGTTTCCATTCAAGACTGTGGCCTCCATGGTAGAAGGATATAGTCCCTTATTCCATGTATTCCATGAGGCTGTGGCTGACACTCAGAAAGCACCCTGGGAATATTGATATAATGTGTGAAGATGACCCTTTTCCTTATCTTCTGAATCCCACCTTCCCTAACAGAACAGGATAGTTGGACTACTCAAGAATTCTTCTACATCTTTTTGCTGGCACCAGAGGGTCTGCCTAACTTAAAAGAAGACATTAGGGGCTGGTTAAAGCTGGGCACAGTGATGCACACCTGGATTCCCAGCACTTGGGAAGCTGAGGTGGCAGATAGTGAGTTTGAGAACAGTCTTGGCCACCTAGTACATATACCTAGTATAGTGATACTCCATCTAACAGTAGTAGTAGTCGTTAGAATTCTGTAAGATTAAGTCCAGCCTGTTGCACAAGCCAAATTTAATATCAGCAACTTTGCAAATGCAGCCTAGACTTCTCATCGTATACTATTTTTGTTGCAAAACAAATATTTCACAATATAGTGGCTAAAAACTACAGATGTGTAGGTAGTTTGTGGTTGTATTGGTTGGCAGTTTGGCTGGGTGGCCGCAGTAAGATCTGGAAAAAGCCCCTTTTTAGTTGATGGGAGGTTTGCTTCTCTGCTCCTCCAGAGCTCTCATCTGCCCCCCAGATGGTTAGCCTGAGGCTGTTCACAAGGTGGGGGGGGCAGGTTTCCCAAAGAGGCAAGTCCAGAAGCTACCAGACCTCTTGAGGCCTAGACATGGACCTGGTCTATTATTGCTTCCTGCTCCATCCACTGGTCAAAGCCAGGCACAGGGCAAGTGTAGATTCAAGCAGTGGGAAATAGATGCTAGCTCTTGAACAGAGGAACTGTAAAATAGTGTAGACTCTGAGAAACAGAGGATATGAGTTCATGCTGGTCTTGCTGATGAATGAACTCAGGCTCTTCTAGGACTCTGTGGCTCAGTGGGATTCTACTGGCCTCTGGTCTTTAATGTAAGAGATGGCCAGGTACTCTCTCTTTTCCCTAGAGTCTATATTTGAACACACACACACACACACACACACACACACACACACACCTCTTTCACGGGGTGTTGTCTTATCAACTGCAGGAATTGTACTGTCCCAGTTCCTGTAGGACCTATATGATCATGGAGAAAATGAAGGACTCAGAGGTCAAAAGACACTATATTTCTTCTAAATGTGTTTATATCCTAGGTTCATCCAAGCAGCAAAGTTCATTGGGTGCCTTACTATTCAAAGGCCCTGGATCTGAGCAGGAAGCATTTTCTAACATACACCAGCTTCTAGGAAGTCCCAAGCAGTAGCCTTAGGAATCAACCCGATAGAGATCAGTTCTCTCCTGGCTTAGGGCAGACCCACAGCTGCCGGGATCTATTTGTCCAGGTTGCATGATCCATGAAGAATGGGGAATCTACCTGGGAAGGGCTTGAGCTCCCACAGACCTGGACTCAAATTCCTTGCTCTTCTGTGCCATGTATGGTTCACATGTCTTTATGCAACTGATGTCAGCTTCCTACTACCAGGAAGAGTGACACCCGCCTCCTGGGGTCCTGGGATAAGTAAATGAGGCAGGGCCATGGGTCTGTTAGCACTGTGTCAGTCTCTTTAACAGTCTAAGGTACTCAGGTCCAGCTGCTATGAGTTTTGACTGCTAACTTACCTAGAAAATTGACCTCTGACAAATGGGAACCAGGTCCTGGGAGGAAGTGGGATGGTCAGAAAGCCAGACTCATTTTTCCGAAGGATAACTTGCTCCAAAGGTCCCCCATGTAACCCCCATGGAGCCTGCATCCTGGGCCATGCTGCAACCTGCCCTCCTTTCTTGCTCTCTACAATCCCTGCTCCTTCCTACACCAAGTCTCCTCAGAGGAAGTCTCATCTCTCATCTCAGGCTTACTTTGGGCGAATCTAAACTAAGAGCCTGTGCAAAACACCAGTGTTCAGAGGAACCAGTGACGATTTAATTCTATTGTTTTATTCCCATAAATAATGCTCTGGTTACATGAGATGAACATCTGGTCACCTCCGTGTCAATACAAACACTGCTTCCTCTATGGGAAGCCCCTTCAGGTACCACAAATGTTAATGTCTCATGACGCCTTCCTGGCAGTGGGTAGTTTTCCAAAGTTATGGCTGTAAATAATATTTATATGAGAGTTCTCAAGGTTTTCCCTAAGAGTGTGTGTGTGTGTGTGTGTGTGTGTGTGTGTGTGTGTGTGTGTGAAGCCACCATTAGAGAAA